ATTTTTGGCAGTGCTTGAGTGCCTGCGAACTCCAGCTTGCTTCATTTGCTGTGGTTTCGATGCTGCTAGTGCCACATTTGATTAACCTTACTTACCCTTTGGTGTAATTTGGCAGCATTTAAGGCAGGAGCCATGGACTCCTAGAGAGAATAACTTGCCTCACAAAACCAGTCATCAAAGTACTTATTCTCCACTCTGAGCAGTGCCATGAGGGTTAGTTGTGCTGAGGCTGGGTTTTAAGTAGCTGCAGCTAGTTTGGTGTACTGTAAGGATGTTAAGCACAGAGTAAAATTAATTGCATGAAGGAAGTAATAGCTGTTCAGTAGTTAAGGACTGTAATTTTCTGGTGGAGGAGGACTGAAAGAGTCAAGTACACTTTTAATAGAAGAAATCAGAATATTCTTCTGGCTTATCCTCCTTAGGCCTTTTTGCTCAGTAGCTGCTTGAAGCAAATGATAACGGAACAGATGATGAAGGCAGCCAAAGAGGGCCAAGAAACGGTGAGCATGTGTGTATGTTGGTAGCTGAATCTGTATTTAGAAGAAATAAGCCTGCTACTCTATTGTTCTTTCGAATGTGTGGAGAGAAGCCCCGTTGAGGAAAAGGATCTTGCATGTTCCAACATTTCAGTACAGAATTAATTGACTAAAAAAGTACATCTTTGCTTATTTTTACTGAAATAATATTTGGAATGTTAAAGGTGGTTTATCATCACAGTTTTAATAATCTGTTTTGCATTCTCTCTCCTTGACTTTAATTTTTGCTGCATATATTCTGCAACTATCCTGTGGTATCCATTTCTGGCTTTCACTTTTTCACCACTTCACTTCCTTGCTCCATCTGCTGCAACATTAGGCCAATTTGAGATTTGTGACATTCACACTGAGAAACTTTTTTGGTTTTAAATAGAAGTGTTAATAAAATACAAATCTAATTTGTAGCTGAAATACTTCTGATATCTTTTGTGGGGGCCTTTAAGGAGGAAAATATGTTTAAAGACTTGTTATTTTTAAAAGTAGCTTCCAGTATTAATAATGCCATTGTTTAACCTTGTGATATCTAAAGACTCTGTCCACTAACTGGTAACTTCTGAAGAGAAAAGAGGAAAGGAACGTACATGATCTTCTAGACCCATGCTGATTACAGTGAGCAAAGAACAGCATGTGTTTTTCATAGCTTTAAACTATAAATGATTCATAAGCAAAGACCAATTTTAATTTTGGAAAAGATTGGATCTCTTTCATACTAAGTTTATTTGTAATGGAAGTAGAGTAAATCTTTAATTACAAAGATGAGCATTCATTACATAAGTGTGAAGCTATTGATAGTACTCAGGTGACTTAGACTGAAACAGAATGATGAAAGAAGGGTAAACATGCCAGTTCATTTCCTACACGCTTTATGCTGGGTTTATCTGAATGCTGATTTGCTCTGTGTTTTGTTAGAGTATTTGGGGGAGCATTTCAGCTCGTTCTAAGTTTAAATATTTCAATCTATTTAGGAAATCAAGATGCCTGGATCCACGAAATATAGTAAGAAATCCAGCATCCAGCAAAAGCAGGTTAGTGAGTGAGAAAGTGTCTCCAAAATGTAAATGCAGTGTGTTTGTCTTGCTAGTGGTGTTTAGCCCAACCTCTGTTTTTCTGGTTAGGGAGGTTCCTAATAAATTTAATGGAAACTTCTTTGGGTAGGAAAAGGAGTTGAATCTTGAAAGGAAGAGAAGGCAAGAAACATGGCTGAATAAAATTTTTATTTTAGTTTGATGGGTTTAATGACAACTTGCTTCACTTCATTTGTTTTTTGCAAGTGTTTCTGAATGAGACATTTGAAGTTTACAGAAAGCCAGAATATATACAGAGACCAAGTGTGTACATTCACAAGCAGGTGCTGATGTAGTTTACAGACTTGTACTTGGGTTCTGCACTGGGATTGTTTATGCATTCATTTTCCCTGTAGTTGGAAAATTTGACATGTTGCATATCTGTACATATATTCGTATCATGTAAAAGATGTAATTCCAAGTTCATTTGCTGGAATCCCTATTCATAGCTAATAGTTCCTGAGTAGCTAAATGGCTAAAAGGTGCTGCTTTTCCAAGTCATTTGTTGAATATGAGATAATAAATAAATGGAAAGGAAATAATGAAAGCAAATGAAAATAAATACTTCTATTATAGTGTGTGATTGGCCAAAGGGAAAATATTTCTAAAAGAGAAAAACAAAATCTGACCTGAATTTAGAAAATACAGAAACATTACTGTATCTTCAGAAACAGCATAAAACTGATAACTAACTGTTCTTCGATAAGCAAATTGATTAACCTGTGTGGTGGGTTTTCTTGCCCCTTTCTTTGAAGTGCTCTGTAGTTGTCACTGCTGAAGAGAAGATCCTAGGTTAGGTGTCGCCGTCCATATTCACAAATAACTTGCAAATGATAACAAGGGAGACAATACTTTCTGAATAGACTGAGATCTGTGGTGAAGGTCAAAGGATGCAGTTCAGTGGCTTCACTGTGTACAACTGTAGCAAGGAGTAAGTTGTGTGGCAATCTGGGCTTGAGGCAATTGTTTTGATGTGAACATACTTTAAAATACCTCCTTGATGGACTCTTGAATGTTCCCTCTGAATTTTTGTGAGGAGAGCAGCCTTGGGCAGGGCAACATAAAACCATTGAGCTCATCAGCTGTGCCTTCTGGTGCAGTGCCTGGCTGCTACTATGAAACTCAGTGAACTCAGAAAATTAGAGCTGGTAATTAGAATGGAGTTGTTTGTTAAAGCAAGTCAAGGTATGCTGTTGTGTTACACAGTGTTATGGCATGCTGTGCCTCTTTTTGTACAGCAAGTTTAAACTGATTAAGGTCTTCATGCACCAAACTATTATTAGACAGACAATTAATAGACAAACTCAAGCCATGCTTAGCCAACTTCTAAATACTATGATTGCAATATTAAGGTACTTCAGATTTCCCTTTCCTATTGCTCTATTTCTCTTTGCAAGGCAGTTGAAAAAGGTATTGAAAATGTATCTTTGCACATTCTCATTTGAAAAAGTATTGTTGGAGTTGGGCCTTTAATTTTGCCATTAGTGTCCCCAAGAGTCTTGCAAGTGTTTGCTCCACGTTGGTGGGAAGTGTAACTGACTGCTGTCCAAAGACTCTGAAAACTTAAATCAAATATTTTCTGCTGACTCACAAGAAGAAAAACTCAACTTTGGTTTTCTTTGTGATCCGGTAGCAGTATGCTCATACTACCAGATCGGTGTAACAGCCTGTAAATTCTTGTTTGAATAGGCAATCCAGTGCAGCAGGAAGATTTAGTAGGAAAATCAAGAACAATCTTTTGAACTGAGATAAAAATGATTTAACTAGTATGCAATAGGTGGACTTTGCAGATAGTGAGGCTGTGCTCTAGAGTGTGCCTGCATCTAGGCAATTTTGCTGTTACGTCTTTTAGAAGTTTTGGAAAAAAATGAGGTATGAAATTAACTTCTACAGAGATAATCTATGCAAAATTTGGCTCCAGTTTCCTAATGCCTTAATAGTTAGTTATTGCAGCATGGTTGCCATAGTGTTGTGATGGACACTTTTAGTAGGGGTTTTCAGGACATTTACATATATATCAAAATACCATGTTGCAAAAGGCAGAAGAAAAATCTGTGCCATGCATTTTCCTAATACAACAGAAAACTAACGATACGTGCAATGTAAGGGTGTAGCTTCCCTGCATGTACCTGCTGGCTGATATGATACTAGAAAGTTTCAGACAGTCTGCGGTAGCCTTTAGGAAAAGTAGAGTTGGAAGGTATCACTTATGCAGGCGTTATGGTTAAAGTTAAGAACGTGTGATTAACAGTAGTCAACCTCATTCATGAGGCCTAGTAGGCAGTTAAAGTACCTGTAGGTATGTTATTTGGCATTATAATGGCCACAAAGACATCAGTGTTAGCACATTTGGAACTGCCACTCAATCTACACCACACTTAGTACATTGCAATAAACTTTAAGAGCAGAAACAACTGTCCTTGTGTCCTATTCCAGCAGGAAAAAAAAACCCCAAAAATTTTCTGAAATGCCAACGTAAGAGATCAACTATTGCACCTGAACAGTGTCATGTCAGATTTTCTAGCTTATGTTTGTATCTATAATTATTGAAAGGAATATACTCTTTTAACTGTTTATCTGTTTCACTGCAGGTAGTTCATTTGGGTTTTGTGTCCAGGAAAAGATTTTTGGTTAGGCCCAATGAAGAGGACTGTGTATTTGAGAAAATAAGAGAAGAGGACCTGTGATAATTTATTTTTGATTCTGTCTTTCAAAATGAATTGTCTGGAAATAATAAACCCATTGTTTAAACTTTGAATTACAAGGTAGGGGGGAATCTTCAGCGTTCTCTGTTGCACTTACAGCCCTAGTGAAGCAGTGTGCAGGGGTGCTGAGAAGCTGGAGACATCTTACATGCTTTGGGGTTTTTATTCCCCAAGAATGAAACTGTCATTAGACAAGGTGCTATGATATTAGAAGAGGAAAAAGTATTTACCTATCAATGTGAAATGTTTCTGTGAGTATTGGTGTGATCACTGTCACCTAGATATGGAAAAGGTGTGTATTTCTGGTGACTGTTCCACTTACCAGGACCAGTCCTTCCTCTGTTGTGATGCCCTTAGTGACCTCCTGAGATACTGCTTCAAAAGCTGGTATTAAAATATATGAAATTGAGCGGTTTTATACTGGTGCCACTGGGGTGAGCGGGTGCCTGATGCTGCTGGCTGAAGGCAGACACACTGTTAGCCGCATCACTAAGTTATTTGCTACTGCAAGAAGACTAAAGTGCCTAAATGAGGGTCGTGACGCTAAAGCGAAGCTGTAACCACCCTCCCGTTGGAGCCGGCTCCGGCCGGTCCCCCCTCGGTGGAAGCGGAGCGGGAGGGGGGTGTCCTTCCCCCGCTCGGGCCCTGGCGCCGGCCTCCGCCCACCAGGGGGCGCGCGCGGCCTCTCCGCCGCCCCTCAGCCTCCTCCGCCCGCGCGGCCTCTGTGCGCCGAGCCGCCGCCGAGTGGCAGGTAACGCTGGGGGGGTGTCGGTGTCCGTCCGTCCGGACGTCTCCGGTGTCCGTCTGCCCGCCGGGGGAGGGGGAGTTGTCCGTCCGCCTGTCTGTCCGCGGGGAGGGGGGGGTGAGGGGGCGGTGTCCGTCTGTCCGTGGGGGCAGGAGCGGTGCCGGTCAGTCGGTGTGTGAGGGGAGCGTGTGGTGGGTCCGGGCCCTACCGAGCGGGGGGTGAGGGGCGGCCCGGTACAGCCCGCCCCGAGGCCCTGTCAGCCCTCGCCGGAGCGGCGGCGGGG